AAAAAAAAAAAAAAAAAAACTGAAACGTAACTACTCTCATTGATGCACACAGGCTAACGACAATTAAATCACGGTGCCATACAGAACAAATAATTCCCCAACGAAGCTTTGACCACCAATGATCAATGAAGCCTAGCCCATTACTAATATGTCTACTAATATGCATATGCTATGATTCATTGACAAATATTTCACATGATCAATGAATTACTTGTCCACCAATGAAGCTTTACCGAATTCAAACCATTTACCGAATTCAAGCCACAAAATATTTCAAGTAAATATTAGTTGAAATAAATATGCTCATACAGCAACCATGAATATAAGTACGCAAATAATAATATGCTCATAATGTTTTGAATCCAGACGCATATAATAACTATAAGGCGTACGCAATGCCGAGGCAAAATTAATTAACCTTTATAAAACTTTAATTGGCAAGGTAATTATGCATAAACACATGCTCTGACACCACATGTAAGAAATTTAACGGGTATATCCATAACTATTAGGCGGAATTGAATAAACCCTAAGCATGTAATTCTATCAATTCATAGAACATGGATCTTTGCATAAATTAAATTGCACATAAAACTTACAAGAACCCAGCTATAGTCCTTCCCTGTTCATCTATGATGTTGATCTTTCTCCAATCTCCAATCCTCTTCCTCCAATCTCCAATGATGGATTTGTCTTTCCCTATGAATTGTTTCTCTCTCCCTCGTCTCTCGTCTTTCCATAAAGCCCTTAATGTTGAGAACTTTTTTTTTGTATATGAGATGGGAGAGAGGGGCATGTAGTAATATATATAGGAGGAGACCTACAATCCTATTCCTACTAACATTCCCCATGTTCTAACCTAACTTACTGTCCAAGTCAAACATCACACATTGGACTCTTTAATATTAGAACATTAAATAATCTATTAAATACATATTCATCTTTAATAAAGTTTGACTATTAATTCAATTAGGTCTAACTAATTATATGGTCCACAATAATTGAATAATATATAAAATATTATTACAAAATAACCTCATCCTCCTCTGGCACGTCTAACGCTCCAAGAGCAGGTCAACGGCGGCGGAGGGGAATGTTATCCATGGTATCCCCGGAGTTTGAGGAAGCGATGTGGGCTGTGAAAATACGAGTAGGAACTGTGTCGCCGGGACGAAGGATAGAGAGGGACAACTTCGAGTGCAGAGGGTAGTATTTCAACTGAATCAGAAGAGGTCTCAGAGTCTGAAAAGAAAATCAAAACAAAGACAAAGAAAACAATATCAAAAAGAAGTCACTGCAAGGAAGAAAGAGAGGAGAAGGAAGATTAGGGTTTTTGGAGAAAGCAATCCCAAAACCAGAAGAAGAACTTGAGGAGTACGGGGACGGAAATTTCAAAAATTTTCAGAAGAGAAGCAAAATCCTCAACATCGAATAGACAGACAAGAGTATTCAAAGCACAAATTCAACACAAGACATGCCAATTCGAAATAATTCAACAGATAGATCAAAGGTACCCAATATTGAAAACCCAAGAATACACAAAATAGAACTACAAAAAATACAAATTCAAGCGTGGAGAGACTTACTCATAACCGTGGATCAACGATTCAGGGAAGATTCGGAAGAGCACAGGGGAAATCGCCGAGAAAGCAAGGATTTTTGCAGAGAAGATTCTGGGTACAGAGGAATTCAAAAAAGTCAAGGGTGGAAAAAAGTCGAAAATACGCTAAGTGTGGGATTTATACTTTGGGAGATTGAAGGGTTGAAAGATAAGGGCCGTCGGATTAAAAACAGATCTAACGGTGGGGAGTATTAATTAACACAGTACTCAAAGTGAGCACGTTATGCGAGGAGACGCTATAATTAAAAGGACTGACATATGCGACATACGTGACGCATGGCAGAAAAGTAAACCTCGCAGAAAGGACATATGACAGGTGACCTTATCCCTGACAATCAATAAGGTATTATTTGAAAAAATAAATGGAAAATCCACCAGATGGTCAATGTCGGACACCATGATGCCCAGGAGGCCGATAGGCACAGACTCACTCTTAGGTCGAGTCATTCAGACTCGACCAGAGTGGGTGGGACTAGATGATATAGGATATTATCTCCACAAGGTTAAACAGGTAAATAGACCGGTTAAGGAAGTCGTATTATGAGGAAGTCCAGGAAATCGAGCAGTTAACCATTCGATCAAGCAAAGCTGTCGACCGAACTATCCTACGGCCAGGTGAGCGATCGAGCAGTTCAGTCGGCCTCGACAGGTCGACCACTTCGAGGACTTAACACCACGCAGATCGACCTAGTCACAAGAGCGTGAGAGAGAGTCTCCAACTAAATCCCAGGAGAATATTTACCCCATATGCAGGGGGACACGTGTCGAGAAGGCAGTGGTGGATAGCGATAACCACCTCTGACAGCCTACCCCATGTGTAGGAGGACACGCGTCCAAAGGGGATTGGTGCAGGCGATAGTGGCGACGACTACCTCTGACACACGCGTATGGCGTGTACGGACGGGCAGCTAGGGCAGACAGCTCATCAAATCCGGGCAGCCCTAGGCCAGGTATCTCACCCCTATATAAAGGGGGTGAGTCTTTCTTCTTCATCACGATCATTCCATTACTTACTCTTGAGAATTGATTGAATATACACTGACTTAAGCTTCGGAGGCTCTTCACCGGAAAACCCCTCCGGTGTGAGAGTTCTTTGTAGGTGCACGACGTTCAACCGGCAAGAAGGAAGGCGATCATTCAAGTTCCAGCCGGTCGGGAAGTTTTTGTGTTACCAATGTTAATCCTTATTATATATTAATAGATATGAATTTTGCCAAATATATATGATATATGTGTACAGATATATGTTATGAATATCTTGAGATACAAAAGAATTTTTTATGTGATTTATTACCTTAAGTCGCAATTACCTAAATTGTACATTTATAGCATACCATAAAATATTTAAATAATTTTCAAATTTAGTAAACAACATTTTTTGACAGGAAATAATTACTATTTAAAAAATAATCAAACCTTTATTTTATATATATAGATATCACTACACTATCTCAAATTTTTAATTTGTATTTTAATTTGGTAAAATTTCAAATCAAATTAATTGATTATTTAAACTAAGAATAGCCTTTTAATATTAAAGTCTTTTAAACATATTAAAAAAATCCTTAAAATATTCATCTAAAGGTCTTTTTAATAAACTAATGTTTCACTAAAATTACAAGAGATCGTTCATGGATTTTTGAGTGTTTTTTTATAGTTATAAATTATAAATTTATAAGCATACAAAATTTCTCAAATCTTTGACACTTAAAAACATCTACAAAGTTGACCAAACCCCATCAAAATCACTAAAAACTTTAACGAGTAAATAATCATATCAACATATCTGATGGATATTGTGCTAAATTGGAAAAACAAAGCTAATTCTCAGACTATTATTTATATATTAGGGTAGTATAAAAAAAAATAGGTGAAAAAGTTCTGTATAAAAATGTACTTGATTTTCTCAACATTGTGAAGATTATTAAATGTTGGTTAAATAAATTCTTCATTATCTCAATAAGTTTTAACTATCATTGACAGTATTAAAAAATTAATATATTACAAATTTCTCTAATTTTTACATATTATTTTTTTAAAAAAATTATGTTTATATGCATAAATAAATACTTTACATTGTTTGACATATTATATTATTAACATTTATTAACGTATATATTATTTTATCTCAAACTTTTATATTATTAATTTATATTTTTTTTCGAAACGTTGAAATTTATTGATAAACACATATTTACAATATTGAAAACAACTAGTAGCAGCTAACTTAAGTAGTTATACAACTAAATCCAAAAACAGGACTGTACGTTGCAATGACGGTAGCCTAAAAATAACTATACTAAAACGCACCTGCAAAACTAAAAATGAGAAAACTAAGCTCCCACAATTGGATAATACTATTGATATGGATTTAATTGATTTTTGATTGGTTTTTTCGTTAACTGTAGTTAACTTTGAAAAAAACGGTATTGTTAGTTACTAATATGAATTAAAGTTAAAATTAAAATAATTTAAAATAATAATTAACGTTGAGTTGCAGGAGAAAAATAACTGAAAGTGATGGTTAGTTAAAACTATATAAGTGGATGAATAATGAATTAAAATTGAAGTGATGTGTAAGAATGATTGATATATATTATATAGTTATATTGATAATATTGAGGATAATGATGTTGGGTTAAAGTCTAGTTAATTTGAACTTTGATTGGTTTTTTATTAGTCTAGTTTATATCAAATTACACCATAAGCTCCCATGTGGAGAATACTAGTTCAAAAAATAAAGAAAAAACACCAAAACAACACAACACACAAAACAAAAATACTAGAATAAAACCCTCCCCATAATTGCAAGCCACTCTGCCCTAACATCGCGAAACCGACACCCGTGGGGAACTACCCCACCTATAGAAACATTGCCCAAGTCACAAGGCAATCAATGGAGCTAACAACCTAGACTCACCGGAACATCGCACTAGAACCCTGTCGTAGTCATTTGGGAAAAACGAAGAAGTGCTACTCCAACTTAGGGGACAACGAAACGGGAGTCAGGTTGGACCACCCGATGACATACGACACTGCGACTGCGCGGTCGCTCCACTGAGGAGGGACACCAAAAAGGATAAAAGACGAGGATTTACTGTTCACAGAGGATCAAGAGGGAATTTTATTTTTTACTAATTTATATAAAAAAACACTATTTTTACATTTTAAATGTAAAATACATAGCAACCAATTTTTAAAACTCACTCAAATACAAATACCGTTAGCAGACAAAATCCACGTGTCACCCTTCTGTACGTCCGTATCATCGATCTCAGTACTCTCCATTCTACCCTCCTCACGTTACCTTGGCTTTATCTTCCCCCACCAACCCCACTTTCTCACTCCTCCCTTTCTCTCTCTAGACTTTCCTTAGGGTTTAATTTTCCCCAATCCGAGTGATCTGACTCAAACTCCTCTCAACCATGGGTTCGCTGCCCGATCCAGGCGAGTTGACTCATCCTCCTCCCCCGCCGCCGAGTTTCGACGACTTCCAGCGCCAGACCTCGCTGATGACAACCTGCACGCTTCTCTGGAAAGAGCTCTCCGACCACTTCACCACCCTCGAGCAGGACCTAATCAAGAAATCCGACGCCCTCAAGGCCAAGTTCCAGGCCCTCAACAACGAGACCCAGCAGTCTCTGCAGGCCCTCGACTCCCGCGAGTCCTCCATTTCCAAATCCATGTCTATCGCCTTCGAGGCGCTCGAGAAGTCGACCAAGGCATCCTTCGCCGTCGCTTCCCGGGACGCCACCGGGGAGCCGGAGGTTGACGACTCGGAGGGCCTGCTGATGAAACTGAAGAGCTTCTGCCACCGGATGGCGGCGCGCGAGTTCTGGATCTTCGTGACCTCACGGAAAAAGGAGATCGAGTCGTTCAGATCGGAGCTGCCGAAGGCCCTGGCCGACTGCGTGGATCCCCCGAGGTTCGTTCTCGAGGCCATCTCGGAGGTTTTTCCGGTGGCAGCGAGCAACAGCGGCTGCGATTTGGGATGGGCGTGCGTGCTGCTGCTGGAATCCCTGATTCCGGCGATGGTAGATCCGGTGCTGGGGAAAGAGAGGATGCTGGTGACGCCGAGCATCAAAGGGAAGGCGGAGGAGATAGCTGAGACGTGGAAGAGGAGCCTGGACGAGAGGGGTGGGATCGAGAATGTCAAGACGCCCGATGTGCATACTTTTCTACAGCATCTGGTGACCTTTGGGATAGTGAAGGAGGAAGATGTGGACTTGTACAGAAAGCTCGTGGTGGCCTCTGCCTGGAGGAAGCAAATGCCCAAGCTCGCTGTTTCTCTTGGCCTTAGGGATAAGATGCCCGGTAAAGTCTATCTCTCTCTTTTCACACACGCACATTCTATTTTTAGTAACTTGTAGATATAGCTTAACTATGTTCTTGTGGGTTATTTATAGTTTTATGTGTGAACATATTATAAATGTTATGACTGTTGAAGTTGGAATTCTATTTAGAAAGTTCTTGTAGTGATTGATTACGTTGTGGTGAGTATAAGGAAGAAAATGTACAGAATTCCTTGGAGTTTTTGTTTAGAATTTGGCCTTTGTTCAACATTTGTTTGTTAAGGCCTAAGATGATATTACAGCGAAAGCCGGATGCTGGCTGATTTGCGTGCGGTATTAGCCGCAAACAGAAATGGTCATTTCTGTACTCTTAACAATTTTGACTTGGTTGCGTAGGAACTTCAGTTAAAGTTATTGATTATTTCAGTACAGTGGCTCGGTTTAACTGTGAGGGACACAGTGCAAGTACAGCGAAGATACTAGTTACTTCTGCCTACTATCTGCACTCATGTGTAGGAGACTGAATTCTGGGAATAATTTGAGTTGGTATTGTCGTAGAGCAATTGAAGTCAAACATTTGGGAGTACTTGTGCGTAGGACACTGAGTTGAAAGTTGTAGTTCATATGTTTCACATCTATAGGGAATCACATTGGTTTGACATAACCATTTCCATGGTTAGCATAGTATGGAGTACTTGCTATTTTGAGATTTTTTACTTGAGAAGTGTGTTGATCTCATGAAACAAGTTTTAACTGATGAACCTTTTCTGGTTGAGCCATGGAATATAAT